AAGTAGTCTGTCACCTTTAAGCTTCACCTCCCCCAAAATCTCAGAGCATAGATAAATGCATTGACATTTATTGCTATCCTGTAAGCAGGGTGGCTGCTAACACAGTTGCTTCATTTTTATTTGAAACCTAATCAGAATCACCTTTACTGTTTGTATACTCACCAGCATCTTCCGAATCCTCACCAGAACCCCCATTAAGCTTTTCTTTTCTTTTCTCTTTTTTTTTTTTTTTGTTGCCAGGGAGCCAACTCAGAACCTTGTGCTTGTGAGACAGGTGGTGGAACCACTGAGCTAAATCCCCAGCCCTCCATTAAGCTTTAAATATAGTATTGTAGGTTTTCTCTGGCCCACTCCATCAAGCTTTTCCAAATTTCTCTTGCAAACCAATTAATTTTTTATTAATTTTATTGGTATGTTTAAGGTATACAATATAATGACATTCATCAGAAATTTGCACCTTTACATAATCCATCTTGGTTCTTATTTTTCCCATTCCCCTGCCCTCTCTTCAACCCCTGCACCCCTCCCTATCTACAAAGACTTTGTTTCTGTTTTATTCTCATATTAATTCCCCCTTCTTTTCCCCTGCCCCTTGTACTTCCCCTTCTGCAGTGGACCTTTTCTTCACATTTCATATGTCTATTATACCTTTTAGTTCTTATTTATGTTTTCAGTTTCTCACACTAGAGAAACTATTCAGTATTTACACGTGTGTCCTGTTTGTTTCACTTTATATCACATTTAGCTGTAACTATCTCTAATTTCTCATTCTTTATGGCTGAGTAGTACTCCATTTTATTTAAAAAAAACATATTTTCTTTATCTATTCTCCTGTTGATGGGTAGTTGGGCTGTTTCTAAGTTTTAGCTATCGTGAATTCTGCTGCTATGAATGTGGGTGCACATATATCACTGTGTTATGATTCTTTTAATTCTTTGGGGAAGATACCCAGCAGGGGGATGGCTGGGACCTCCAATCCTAGTTCTTTAAGGTGTCTCCACACTGATTTCCACAGTGGTTTCAACAGTCTACACTCCCACCAGCTGTGGAGCAGGGTTCCTCTTTCCCTACAGCCCTGCCAGCATTTGTGTTTGGTTGATTTCATGACAGCAGCCATTCTTTGTGGGATGAGGTGGAATCTCAGTGTTTTCATTTGCATCTCTCAAATGACCAGTGATATTGGACATTTTTCATACGTCTATTTCTTATTCCTTCTTTGAGAAATTCCTGTTCATTTCAGATGCTCATTTTTGGATTGGGTGTTTAAATTTGGGAGGTCTGATGTTTTTAAATTATTTATAAATTCTAGATAGTAGACCTTTAAGGAAGAGCTGGTGAAAAGTTTAAAACTCTTCAGCATAATTATGTACAGTAATGACTCGTGTTCTTAGAAATTATTTTCTGTGTAAGCTTTCATAATTATATCAACTTACAAAGAGATAAGGTTCATTGTGGCTTACAGTTTTGGAGGTTTCAGGCAGTGATTGGGTGGCTTCCTTGTTTTTAGGTTTTTGGTAGGGATGTAGTATATCATGCCAAGAAAATGTGGCAGAGCAAAACCATTCACTTCATGACTGGATGCAAAAGAGAGAGTGAGGGAAGTGATGAGAGTTGCACAGTTCCCTTTAAGGACATTGCTCCCATGGTTGGAAGGCCTGCCTACCTCTACGACTTGTCTATTGGAATTTCCACCACTTTCCCATAGCATCCTGCTAGAGACTACATATTTAATAAGGGGAACTTTTGTAAACACTCAAGATCCAAATCATAGCTTTATGCAGTGTAATTTTATCTTTGAATCCTATGATAATATTTTATATAGTCAGTATTCATATCAAGAAATGTTACCTTTTACTATAGGTAGTGCAAACCATTCTGAGTTTTTAAGTGCATGAAATAAATCAAATATCACTCTCTAAGTTATTGGAGTAAAAATTGTAAGAGAAAAACTACAGGCAGCAAATACTAAAAGTGTGTAGATCTGCCAAAGGGCCTGGATAAAAATATAGCTGTAGTCGGGGCCAGGAATTTAGCTCAGTGGTTCTGCTGCCTGCCTCGCCGCAAGCACAAAGACCCGAATTTGATCCTTGGCACAGAAAAAAATATATAGCTGTAGAGGTTGAAGAGAAAGTATTTATAGGTACATTGTAGAGAAGTGTAGTGGTGCTTGTGGTAGGAAAAAAGAACCACATAGTGAGTGACTACAAATTGGTAAGATTGCTTTGATAGTGGCTGTCATCACTTTTTTCTCTTTAATCCTCGCCTCCCATTCTTTGCTCCCTCCCTCTTCCCCTCCCACCTTTTCTTTCTTCTTTCATTTTCTTCAAACTTCTGAAATTGCATTCTATTTTTCCCAAAGCAACCATAATTACATAATTAACAGGCTAAGATTTTGCATATAGATTTTTTATAATGCATGCAAAGTTTCTAATTGTATGAAATCTGCAGAACCAATTAAGTAAACAAACTATTAAGTTGTGCTGTATTGATTAACTAAAAGTAAATGTTACAAAGAATAGTCAAAAAATTTAAATGATTTTCTCCATTATGCTAGATATGTGGTTTATTAAGTATTTGGGATTTTTATGTAGATGATTGTAAAGAACTACCCTACTTTTTGGAAGCTGCCAGATGAAAACCAAAGCAATCATTAATGAAATAAATAGATATAAATATTGCAACATTTTAAAAATGCTTAAGATATTTTAACAATGACAGAGAAAACAAAAATTATTTTTATTATTAACTTTGAAAATAAGTTAATTGAAGAATAAGATTTAAGGTAAATATAGGACTATATTTCATATTCCTCCTGTTTGTGGTTTGAGTTACAGAGTGAAAATGACCTAATATTGTTTTTTTCCCTAGCTTTGGCAATATCTGATGAATGGTAATGAGAGAAAAAATGCTGACAAAGGTTAAGGGAATTTTTTATTTAGAATTAGGAAAAATACTGATTAAGAATAGACTTCCCAGACGGGTGTGGTGGCGCATGCCTGTAATCCCAGCACTTGGGAGGCCGAGGCAGAAGGATCACTGTGAGTTCGAGACCAGCCTGGTACATAGTGATTCCTGTTTGTGGTTTGAGTTACAGAGTGAAAATGACCTAATATTGTTTTTTTCCCTAGCTTTGGCAATATCTGATGAATGGTAATGAGAGAAAAAATGCTGACAAAGGTTAAGGGAATTTTTTATTTAGAATTAGGAAAAATACTGATTAAGAATAGACTTCCCAGACGGGTGTGGTGGCGCATGCCTGTAATCCCAGCACTTGGGAGGCCGAGGCAGGGGGATCACTGTGAGTTCGAGACCAGCCTGGGCTACATAGTGAGTTCCAGGTCAGTCTCAACTACATAGTGAGATCCTATCTCAAAAAAACAAAACAAACAAACAAACAAACAAAAAACAAATACAAAAACAAAAACATAAAAAAAAACAACAGACTTCCCAACACACTTCTTAGACACTGACTGAACTAAGTAAAATAAAAAATGAGTGTAGTACATAAGGATGGTCCACTCATCTCTGCTCAAAATAAGAAGTAATGCCAAACACATAACCCAAAATTCTGAGAGAGTTTTGGCATCTCTTTTGGCCAAGGATTCACCTCAGACAAGGAGGTGAGCTGTAAAGGGTATCAGGGCCCCATGAACCGGTCGTCTCCAAGAAATCCCACCTATGAGTACATGAGGCTTTGGGGGACCTCCAGATAGAAACTGTAACACCTACTTTTGAGGTTTCAGGACACCCTTGTTTTCATGTATTCCCTCTCCCATGGGATGTCATCATTCAACCCATGTGATGAATGTATTCCAGCCCATGCTCAGCATGAGAGGTAAACTGACACTATTTTAGATTTTATTCTCTTACCATATCTTACCTTAACTAATATGTAGGTCACCAATAAAAATATTTTGAATTAAAGAGTAAATAGAGCCCACTTGAGGCATCTGAGAAGTAGGAATATTGTTTTCTTGCATTAGTTTGTTTTACCTCTGCTATTAAATAAGTGCTGTAACAATAAACTTTCCACCTGGTTATTACTTTGATTCAAATGATTTTACTATTTTGCCACATAAAATGGATGCTATCAATTTTTGGTAAGTAATTTCCATGATGTGGGTGTTCTTTAATTTGATCTCCCCTTACAAACATTTTTTTTTTTGAAAAAAGATGGCCTACTGAGTTTTTTTCTAATGCCTTTTCTGCATTTATTTGTATGGTCATGCATTTTTTTCCACCATTTATTTGTTCATGTGATGACATGAATATGATCTTATTATTCTTTGCTTACAGTGTTGAGTTCTTTCCACTGATAGAGGAGCAAGTTCTGCTTGGTGTTGCAGTGTGAATAGTTTTAATGGGAGGGCACATACTGTTTTTTGTCTTTGATCTTAGAAGGATGGGTATTCAGAGTTTTACCATTAAGTATGGTGGCAGTTTGTAGGTCTCATTAATATTTTTGGTATATTGTATTAAAGTATAGAATTAAATTACTCTTACCTATTTATTTTTAATTTTGTTACTTTGACTAACGGAAAGATGAACATTATTTAGTGGCTTGTCCAATATTCTGTTAAACATTATTGTTCAGGACTACTATCCTTGGTATTTGTGTAATGTAATACAGATATAATTTTTGTAGGCCAGAAATTACACCAGTTACTTATTTACTGAGGAGGAAAAAGGCCCACTGATTATCTTATATTTTTATTGATAATTTAGTCATGTTATTTCTGCCTTTTTATTTTAAAATACATAACAAATATTACTAAAGAATTGTTCAATGGGTTTGTAGCAGAAGAAATTTTTCAGAAGTTTTTCTATTCCTTCATGAGTAGTGATGAACAAATTTTAGTCTCTACATAGTATTTTAATGTATATGGTAAAAACAAGTATTATATTTATCATCATAATTTCTAAGATGTTATAAATTCATCAGTAGTTTTGACTGTTTTGGCAAAAAACTAATGGATAGTTAACCCTCCCCTTATATTTAGCCATTCGTTTTTGTGTAAAAAGCAGCAGGAGAAAATTATTAGAGACTGTGACACCAAATGGATTTACATAACCAAAGACAATGAAGACAAAGTCATTAAGGATATCTTTTCCAAGTCTGAAACTAAAATAAAAGGAAAACTTGCACATTGCAAACATGAAAGTAATTAGTAGCATGTTAAATATAATTAGTATGATTAATTACCTTGAAATAATTTTAGTTGTGATACTAAAGTTGCAACTTATATATTTAGATATCCTCCATTATATTGTTCATCTTTTGCTTTACATTCTCTTGGTATAAGTAATGCAATTAGTACACTATTACATATTACATTGACTTATCCCAACAATTTTATAATTAATGCTCTCTATTTTTTTCTCTCATTTATTGCAAGTTGTAGTACTAATAGAAAACTTATTGGTTATCTGTGTACAGTATAACATTTAGTGTTTTATGATAAAGTAAGTTTCTTTAAGGATACAATGGAAAAAGAAAGAAATATACTTATGTCAACTGAGTGCTTGCCATGCACCAGACAGTGCTGGGTATCTGAATGTAGAATGTAGTTTATTCTGCACAACACCAGAAGACAGGTATTTTAACTACTTTTATGAATAGGGAAACCAAGGCTCAGCAGTGATTTTTTTTCAAAAATCCACATATGCTTTTGACCTCGGGTCATCTGATGTTAGAGTATGCTTTTTTAACCTTTCGGGTTTTATTTTGTTTTGTTTTGGACATTAGGTAGTGCTAGAAATGAAGACTCAGAATTATAGGTGGAATTAATGATGGTAAATTTTGTATAATTTTTAAATCATTGTGTTTGTGATATATAAACTTCATATGTAAGCCTGTTCCTGAGCAGCCTGAACTATAAAATGTTCAGTTACATAAGCGTGATAAAAAGGAAGCAGGAAAGGTCTCATCTGTCATTAGGCAGCTTTCTATGTAAATAAAAACCTGTGCTCTGGGTGGGATAAGATCTTCCTTGAGTCTTCAAGTCACAGTTACCCTCTGAATAAAAACATGGATTCTCATAAGGCAAATGGATCTGACTCAAAGCTTCTTCCTCACCACTACTCAGAGTCAGCTGTATTAAATTGCTCCACACGAGAGTAAACGCTTATCGAATTATAAAGTTCCTGTGAAGTTTCTCTTGACGCAAGTGTAGAATATAGTCATTCACCTTACAGCATGCCGACTGTTTCTGTATATACTTTAAAACAAAAGAGGCTTTCTGTAATTGTTGTTATATTGATAACTAATTTTTGTAGACTGATAACTAGTTTGGATATATGTGGATATATTGATAGCCAGTGCATGTGTTTTAAATATATATGTGCTAATATATAATATATATTTTATGCATGTATGTAAAGTTTGGGAAGTGACTGTTGCTTGCATGCATAGGAATAACATTCATTTTTCAAATGCTATTTTATCTTTTTTTAATCTTATTGAGTTTATTGGTACTTTTTAGGTATACCATACAGTTACATTTATCATTGGGGTCTTGTACCCTTGCATGACAGGTCTTGGTTCTCATTTTTTCCCCATACCCCTGACATCCCTTTGAAATACTATTTTATCTAATGTCTATAAAGTTACACAGAATATAATATTTTAAAGGCTTTGCAAGTACTTTTAATATTACAAAATTTGGTTACATATATTTATTAAGGAGTTTTCCATTTCTATTTTCTTTCACGATTATATTTCTTTTTCAAATACATTTATATTGGAGCAAATTAATTTTACAAGGTGTTTTATTTCCATGTGGCATTTTGATATATGACATGTAATCATATCATCCACCTTTACCTTGATTTATATCCCCTCTCTCTTCCCCTTTATTCTCTGCCTGTTGTCTAGTAATACTTTCCCTTGTATGCTTCTCTCTCTATTTTTTTAAGATACTGTGTAGTAGAAAAAGCATACAAAATGTGGCTTTGGGGTTCTGACTTATTCTGCATAACAAACCAACCTCTAGTTCTATCCATTTCTTCTGCAAATGACATAATTCCATTCTTTTTTTTAGCGGAATAGCACTACATTTTATATGTCAACTGCGGCCTCACTGTTGTGATTATATCACAATAAACATGGGTATTGATGTATCCTTATAGCATACCAAGTGGGATTCCTTTGGGTATAACAAGGAGTGGTGTACCTGGGTCACAGGGCAGATCTATTCTGTTTTGTTTTGTTTTTTAATTCGAAAGTTATTTGCATAATGAATGTCCTAATTTGCATACCTACCAACAGGATTTCCTTTTCACATATTCTTGTGAATATTTATTATTATTTTTATTCTTGATAATCGGCATTCTGACTGGGGTTACAGTATCTCAAGGTAGTTTTTCTTTTTGTTTCCCCAATGGCTAAAAATGCTGAACATCTGTTCCTACACTTTTTGGCTATTTGTACTTGTTTTGAGAAGTGTCAGTTCAATTTATTTGCCCATTTATTTATTGTGCTAATTTTTGTAGGAGAACATTAGAATTTTTTAGTTTTTTACTACTGTTCTTAGTGCCTATTAATTTTTAAAATACTTGGTTCCACATGTCTAATATATTTTGGTCATATCCTTACCCCATTACATACCTTGTATACTACATATTAATCCTTAGTTGGAAGAGTAGCTAGCAAAGATTTTCTCCAGTTCTGCAGGCTGTCTCTTCACTCTCTTGATTCATTTGTTGTATAAATCTTGTTAATTGGATTTAGTCCCAGTTGTTGATTCTTAACTATTATTTCCTGTGTCATTGGAATTCTCCTCAGGAAGTCTTTGCCTTTGCCTATGACTTCTTGGGTTCTCTTATGTTTTCTTCTAGCACTTCCACAGTTTGAAGGCCTTGTACCTAAGTTTTTGTTCAATTTTAAATTGATTTTTTAATAGAGGGTGAGAAACAGGATCTGGTTTAAATCTTCTACGTATGGATATCCACTTATTCCAGCACCATTTGTTAAAGAGGCTGTCTCCTAGGTCAAGAAGCAGATTGCTGTAGTGTAGATTTCTTTCGTGACTTCCGGTCTATTGCTCTCGTGACCATTTCTGTGCCAGTACTCTGATTCTATTGTTCCTTTGGCTTTGTCATATAATTTGAAATCAAGTATTGTAGTATTGTGATGCTTCCCTCATTGCTTTTTGTTTTGGATTTCTTTGGATATTCTGGATCTTTCATGTTTCCATATGGATTTTAAGAATGTTTTTCTAGTTCTGTGAAGAAGGTTATTGGAATTTTGATGAGGATTGCATTGAATCTTCAGATCATTTTTGGTAATATGGACATTTTAATAATAAGAGTCCTGCCCGTTCATCACTGTGGGTTGTCTTTCCATATTTAATATCTTCTTCAATTTCTATCTTCAGTATTCTGCAGTTTTAATTTTTGAGGTATTTTACATTATTGGTTAGGTTGAGTCCTGCTCAGTTTTTTGAAACTATTATAAATGGAATTTTCCTGATTTCTTTCTCATCATTTGCAAATAGAATGGGTATTGATTTTTAAATGTTGATTTTGTGTTCCAATACTTTGCTGAATTTGTTTAAAAGATCCAAATGTCTTTTAGTGTACTCTTTAGGATCTTTACATATAGAATTTTATTGTGTACAAAGAATAATAATTTGACTTTTGCCTTTTCTATTTATATCCCTTTTATTTTTTTCTCTTACCTAATTGCTGTGGCTAAAAATTCAAGTACTATGTAGAGTAGGACTGCTGAGAATGGATATTCTTGTCTAATTTCTGATTTTAGAGTAAATACTTCTAATTTTTTCCCTATTCAATATGAGGTTGTTCTGGGTTTGTTGTAGATAGCCTTTATTATATATATAGGCATGATCCTTTAATACCTGTTTTTTACAGGATTTTTACCATGAAATGATGTTGAATTTTGCCAGAGATTTTTTTTCTGTCTCAATTGAGATGAACATCTGGTTTTTGTTCTTTGATTTTATTTGTGTAGAATATTACATTTATTGATTTGTATATAGTGAACCATCTTGGCATTCCTAGAATGAAACTAACTTGAATATGGTTGTGTCAGTCAGCTTTCCCACTTCTGAGATAAATACCTGACACCCAGAATTTAAAGGAGGAAAGATTTAATTTTCCTCACAGGTCCAGAAGTTTTAGTCCACCTTTACCTTTTCCCAAAGCAGAAGCAACACGGAGAGGACATTGTAAAGTATTTTGAGTTACAGTGACAGTTCCTGCTGAGCTAGATCCAAGGCAGAAGGAGCACAGTGGAAAGACCTGATAAGTAGGCAAACTGAAGACTCCGTGCATTATGGTGACCAGGAAGCAAAGAGCAAAGGGAGGTCTTGGGAGAGAGATATACCCTTCCAGGTCATGCCTCCAAAGACCTACCTCTTCCTACCAAGCCTCCCCCACAACAGCACACGCAAATACTGAACTCCCCAGTGTATTAATCTACAAATGATTATGGTCTCCCCATGATTCAGCCACCCTCCAGAATCCCCCACTATGAGAGTTATGAGGGATATTCTAGATCCAAACCACATTTTACCCCTGGCCCCCAAAAGATTCTTAAACATCTCTTTATACAATATACATTTAGTCCATCTCTAAGGTTTTCTAAAGTTTTAGCCATGCTAGTATTGCAGAAGTATCCAAGTCCAAATTCTCCTCTGATACAAGTTTTTAGACTGAGCCACTTTAAAAATCAAAAATAAAGTTACAGGCCGGGGATTTAGTTCAGTGGTACTACTGCCTACCTTTCAAGCGTAACATCCTGAGTTCAATCCCCGGTACCCCCCCGAAAAGAAAGTTAAACACGGGAACATAGGTACCATATAATGGTACAGGATAAATGTTGCCTTTCTGAAAAGGAGAAATAAGTGCATAGAAAGTAATAGGACCAAAACCCAGCAGAATACATATTAAATTCTCTAACTCTATATCCATGAGCCAAGTTTTGATGAGATGGGAGGTCCAAAAGGCTTAGCTGGCCCTTCCTCTGTGGTATTGCAGATTGTGCCTTCATGGTCTCTCTCTTGGGTCAGCTTTGCTTACTGCCTGTGACTTTTTTTCAGATGTTCGGTGTTCCTGGCTTCTCCATCTTTGTGGGATGTACACTAAATGTTTGACTTCATTGTCATAGCTTCACTCCATGCCCACACAAAGGTGGACTGC